ATTATGACCTATTGCACGTGCATTTATCACAATAATTATTATTTTCTAAAACTTCTATTATTCTCTATATGCACGGAGAATTTCATTCTTGACAAAGAAAAAATCCAGTACAATGGGATCGGGAAGAATGGTTCGTGGAATTTGGACATCAGGATGTGCTTGGTAGTAGAGACAATCCAAATTAATTTTAATGAGGCATGTACCCTGCAAAATATTCAACGGATTCCCGGCTCCATCATGAGTGCCAAACTCAAACTAGTAATAAAAATAATAAACCACCCATATTAAAAAATTTTGAAAATTGGTAGAAAAGATAATTTATTCTATATTTGACATTACGTGAGTTCGATGTTGAAGTTCTCCTCTTCGTGTTCTTCTGTCAGTGGAACAAAAATGCCACGCCTACATGGGTTTATTTTTTAGAATGATATACAAGCAATAAAACATCATTTACATTTTAAGAAGTATAACTTACTCACATGCGCGAAGGTGTTTCGTCCTCAGAAATCGAATCAATTTTAACAACTATTGCGTCATGTGCGCGACTAAGATCCTTTAGCCAGTAATCTTTCACCTTTTCGAAGACGTAATTTATACTTTCAGAGTATGCGACTTCCACAATAATATTTGGCCATGGTTTCCTCTAAAATCATGAAAATGTAAAACTTCAATGTTAAAGGGCTCAAAGCCAATAGAGAAAACAAAAGATACCTTTCCATCACTTCCGGTTTGTACAGGCACTCCTGGTTTCATTGGACGAAATGATGCGTCGGCCTCTTTTCCAGAACGATCAGCGCGAGTTCCTTTAAAAGAAAGAAAATTAATTTGATGCTATAAATAGGACTGAGATAGTTAATTAATTGATGCTTACGAGTTGCTCCTAAGTTTATTATACCGGCATTTGTTCTTTTAACAGGAAGGCATTACTCAATTATTTCTGAAGTAATTGCGCCAATACAAGTTTCATGTAGCTCTAATGGAAGTTCATAAACTGAGACTTTATAATTTGTCCATTCCCATAAACCATGAACGTTAAACTTGTCGGTGCGACGTTCGTACTCGTCCAAAGTCACGCCCTCAGCGAGCACATATGGAAGCCTTGTTATAATCAGCCAAAATTAGTTTTGTTCATATATAAACAGCCCACCATGAAAAAACTTACGTAGCTTCTTCCCACTTTGTTTCTGGGTGAAAATTTCCTTCCTTCCACCATAGGCTTCGAAAGTAGGAATAATTCAGCATTTTTTGTTTCGAAACAGTATTATCAGTTTTGAAATAAATAACTGGAAGGTTAGCAAAAAGCAGAAGTACCAGTTTAACGTAATTATCTACTCACGCTTTCGTAATAGAGCTTTGTACTCTGCTAACATTGCTAATACTGTAATATCCAGAATCTGGAACAGTTTCAATTGATATTTTATTAATATTTTTGGAAAAGGTGGCTTCAGAATTCTCATAAGTTGGCTCCTTTTCCTGATTTGCACGATGCAAAAAGTTGTGTAAAGTTTCACGATGTCTTGTGATGTTTATTTTTACATGATATGACTAAATTATTGATCTTGATTAATCATATTTGTATTACTAATAGCAGTTATAGAGTTACACAGTGGTTTTTCTGATATCTATTAACTTCATGTCTTAAAAATAATTCAACTAATGGGTTCACTGCACTAGCTTCATCTTTTGTTATTGGATTTCTCTTCCAAGATATTAAACGAGTCCAAGCTTCATTAACTAAGGATGGTGTCAATTTATTGATCAAACCTGAATATGCTTTATTAAATTTTATGACTCTTTAAGTCACCACTTTGTAACTGATATATAGTATCAAGAAATTAATATCGTATTTTATGACGCGGAAAAAATTGGAATCTTTTATGAAAATTATGAAATATATATCGAGAAAAAATAACTATTAATCATCACGAAATAGCAATAAATAAAAGTCTAAAGTACTAGCCCTCAGGAATAGCTTAGATGGTTTTATTTTAAAGATATATATATATATGAATAAGTTATATAATAAATAAGTAGATATATTAATCAGATAAATAGATATATGTATTGCTTTGCAGACACGGTCTATACATTGTTAATTTGACGCATTTCTTCTCGAATACTCCATAGTAATTTAAAATGTATAGCTAATTCTGAAGTACACATACCATCAGGACTGTACATATATTCAAGCCATTTCTGTGCTATGATATTTATGGCTCGAATCTTTTTTCCAACCTCTCTTGCACGTTCAACTTTTTTGATAGCATTCTGTTCCCATAACTCATATCGATGTAATGCATACTCATCATCAAATGATTGGTTAGATTTTTGCTTAATTTTCAAGTATTCATCATGATTTACACCACAGTATTTATTACCGGTACATGAAAATTTCCAATGTCTCTCCATTCCTATATGATTATAATTACCTATATTTGCAGTCCGTTCTCCAGTATATATTAACTGGTCACAAGAGAAGCAAATTGCTAATCCGATTGCAGGAGCATATGTACCTAGAGTAGGGACTAGTACCAATTTCCTAGCTTCAAGATATTTTTTGCTTTCAGTAGGTAAAAGATCATTCTTTCTGAAATACTGTAAGCGAGGCCAAATTCGATCTATCTACTCGCTAGGAGTTTCATTAGTACGAGCTTGAGGCATCTCTACATATTCATCCCATTTAGTATCGGTACAATTGGTTTCACGTCTTTCACTTAAGCTAACCATTTTATATGACTTATTTGTAGTGATTATGAAAGTTATATGTGATTTATATCGTATTTAGGAAATTTAGACCTATTTGATTTAATAACTTATATACTCTAGAATATGCAATTCAATTTTAGTGCGATTAAATTTTGCAAGGAATAGATGACGATAACGAATCATTCTGAATATATTATTTTAGGGATGGGTAATCTCGAGTTCAAGTATTAGTATTTATATAGCAGAGCTGATATCTATAATATCTAAAATCATGTAATATGTGTCATAGAATGAATTCAAATATAATAGAATCTACATGCATCATTTGGTCATGCGATACACTGATTACTGAATTTAATTAGTACCCCTTACATCTGCATATCTGTGTGAAAACATCTCAAAAACAGATATATAACATTATTTTTTATACTTTTATTAGCTTTACTGCTTCACTATTTATATTTATCGCAAAACTAAAGCACTATGTTGTACTTTTTACAAATAGGGATATCGATAACTTGGTTTGAATAATCGACTCGAGATATATACATATCCTTTGTTCTTGTACATACGCTATCTTTTTTCCTGTTGTGGACTTTTATCTATATTCAAATATCTTACTATGGAGTATATACATATTCTTTGTTTTCGTGCATATACCGTCTTTTTTGAGATACTAAAAAAGGAATAATAAGACAAGTTAAAAGGAGAGTATAGCGGTGTTGTTAAAAGCTTTAGTCCATGTCTTTACTATAACATTTACCTATACACAATTAAAATTTTTATTTTCACTATGTCAAGATTAATAGTAGAAATCGAATCCTTTTTGTTAGAAGCTCCTTTAGAATCTATTTGTAGTGGATCCATTTTTTACCTAATCATGAATGGAGACGAAGTAGCAGATTATAATATACGTGTTGCCCAAATCCCAAATTACTAGTATTTGGGATTTGGGATTTGGGATTTCAGCAAAAAATACTAATTATAATTTGGGATTTGGGATTTGGGATTTTGGCATTTGAGATTTCGGCATTTGGATTTTGAATTTGGATGGCAGGTATAGATTATAATACTATTAGAAATTCAACAGAACATGCAGTACGATCTGCATCACAAAAAATAGAAAATAAGGGGAGAGAAAAAGTAGTGAATATATTGATGGAAGTAAGTAATATACTAAGTGTCTTAACACTAGCTCCGCTATTATACTTCGGTATTAATGATGAAATACAGCAAATGTAAATGCAATTCTTTTAGCTAGCCATAGCTAGTGTTCGAGGAATGCCAGCCTGAAAGAGCGAAATTGTCAAGATTCTTTCTTCATGATATTGAGGATTTCTGCTCCCCCTTGACCGTGCGTGACCATTTTAGCTAAAAGAATAGAAATACATTTTTAAACATATCTGATTACCAAATATTATAACTGCAAAACAATAAAATTCCTGAGGTATCTTTAGTATAATACGGACTAATTTTTGTGATTACATTTTTAAATTTATTACATTTGCTATAGATGGAAAGTGGTTACAATATTATTATCGGATTAAAGGCATTAAAGGCTTTGAATATAAATCAAGAACTATCTCCTGATTATACTCAAGAAGATATTGCACAAAACATTAGAACATTGAAAATGAAACTCAGTTCACCTATGACTGATATGGATGTAAATCTTTATGGAGCTCTTAAAAAAAGTATTGATGAGAATTTAGATATCTCTGAACTCACTTGGAAAAACCAATCGCATGTACGGTTCTTAGTGATGAGCTGGATATAGTTAAAAATCTAAACCAAAGACAAAGACGTACTTTTATGATAAAGATAGAAATATAACCTAGTTGCTTTGTAACAATATATACCACAGTATCCTTTTCTTTTGTCATCTTAAATGGCCTTCACTGAAATAACAATAATTTCTATTATTATCTAGGAACCTCGAGAGAATATGAAGTGTGAAGTTCCTCGATTAATTTCTTCTAGGGTTGACGAGTTTATAGAAAACTTTAACGAAATAGATAATTTTAACCATATTAGAAATATTATGCATGATAAAACATGGAAAGAGGATGAGTTTGAATTATTAAAAATAGCGGAATGAATACTAGATATTCACCAATCTCCACGACTTCACTAATTTATATTTGTAAATTTAGAGGGGACATATAGTCTAATTCAGCTTTTATTACAAGTACAACTCGTAGTATATAAAGTAAAGGGACTTACGTTGCAGACGTAATCATGCCATTACTTCGAGCTAGTTTAGGTGACTTGTCAAAAGGATATATCTGTTTGAGCACAACTGAGTATCAAAGTTTAGCGAGTAAGGTACGTAGAAATGATGAAACAGGTAAAGTGAAAATGGAAAAAAATCTGATATTATAGCTCTAGAAAATTGTGATGGGAAATTGGTGGAGTTTTTATATGTAGAAAGTTCTCGCATTATCTGTAGTGTCACTAAAAAAATGAATGATAAGATAAAATTATGGCGAGAATTATTGGATGGGAGTAGTTATATAAGTTCTGTATGCAGTCCTATTTGTAACCAATTTGGTGTGGTCGGGATTCAAGTAGCTGGTGAGAAATTTTATTTAAATGTCCTTATTAACGATGCAAACGGAATACCAAGATACTTCCATCTAGATCATGTAGAAATTCCATTAACTTCAGAAATAAGATGGCATACAAAAGCCTTAATAAGATTACTACTAATCTTAGAAATATTATAATTGTGAATAAGAATTTGCTTAAACAAGCAATGGAGCAGGCTGTTTTACATCCACCCCAAAATACTTCTCCAAGCCTTACTGTCACTACACCGGAACATGATTATCAATAGATTTTCTTCGTATATTATGTATTTTATCTTGTATTTTTATCATATATTTATTAATAAAGATTTTTGATTAGAAGAACGTACAACGTATCATGTGTTATTTTTTCGTGTACTATATAATCAATAATTTTTCTGAAATAATTTTCTTGGCAAAAGTGATCTGCGTGACAAATTGTCACGGACTAGTAATTTTTTTTAACTTGATACAGATGTCTAAAAATTAAGATCAAGTGTTACACACTTATCACCTGAAGCAATTAATGATATAATCACTGCTAAGGGTACAGCAAATGTATTATCGATATTAGCTAAAAAATATAGGGCCTTGCCCATGCTTCGCATAATGTATCATGTGCACGAATTCATGAAATATGAAAATTCGCTATTGCGAACAAAAATCAATTAAATTATTTTCTTGTGATCACATAGAATTGCTCTCAAGGCATGTAACAAACAATTATTTTATGATAGATAATGACGCATTTTACAAACCCGATATGGGGGAATACTTTATTTAGAATTTAATGTAAGTAATAAATTTTTCACGATAGGATCGAACGTGAATACTCACGACACGTGTGTCACACTGGTGCAGCATGTGGTGCAGTAATTTACTTTGCATCTTTATTCCCTCTCAAACATTTTACAATCACAAAATCTATGTCACCTTGGCTTAAGTTTGTAATAAATCATAACGAAAATGATCTAATTACTTTTATTTTTTGTTTCGCCAATTTCTCATCACCGTTAACAATAGTAGTGAAAAGTTTATATATTTTCTGAGCCCTTTCCATTCTCTTCCACAAAGCACCATCGCTTACTTCGAAAATTTGATTTCTAATATCATCGAAAACTAGCGCATTGGATGCTTCTTTACCGTTATCCTTTTTATACTCTTTATATCATTTATATAGGGCACCTCCAAGATCGAAATAACTACTGATAACATCTCGGTTCATAACCTCATTTTTAGATTCAGCATAATCGATTTTTCTAAAAAAGTATAGAAAATTAGTGCTATCTCCTCCTGGTGCATTCGCTTCAGCAATTTCAGTGATTTGTGTGGGATGATATTTAGACAACAATTCATCAATAAGTTTTTTCAGGTTCACTGATTTTTTTCTATCGACTGGTTTTACCTCCTTCTTTGCTTTCTTACTAGGCGATTTATCTAGCATCGTGAATGTCTCTTCACTAGTAACTTCAATAGGTCTTTTTTGGACTCCCTCCGCTATATCGGCACCTATTCCCATCGAATTATCTACATCCGGCATCTACTCATCAATAATTTTCTGAGATTGGATAGTAAGCTGTCTCCCCATTTTTCCAACTATTGACGAAGTGCTGAATTGAGAATCGCGCCTAAGATCCGTTTCAGCTGTGGTGCCTTCAGTAATAGTCTCGACGCTTGCTTCACAGTCGGGGAAGGGACAACCATTTGGTTTTGTAAGCAGGAGTTTCTTCTCGATACAGATTCTATGGAAAACATGTCCGCAGACTAGCGTTGTGAATCCTTTATTGGAGGTGGAAAAAATCTTTTTATTGCATTCTACACAGTTAGACAATTCGGTGAATTTCTTATTTTTGACTACATCGTCGTTGAAGTTTTTTAGGATGCTATATGCGAGATTTTTTAGATTAGTAGTTGAGACTTTT